AGCGTCAGCAAGTACCATACAGAAAGGGCCGGGTTGAAGCTGAATCTTGAGACCAAGAAAGGAGGGCTATGTAGGAGGGAGTCCCAGCCAACCACCCAGGACCACTGACAGAGCACTGACTATGTGGCAGGAGGCAAGTGTGTGCTGGGTGTTGACAGGAGACCCAGGCCTTGCCCTTCTAGAGCCTGCAAGTCAGCGGGATGATCGACCATTAACAAACGGACAACTGCCAGGCATGCAGCGCGTGCGAAGGCAGCAACTAGGGTCTTGAGATGGAGCAACGTGGGAGGTCTGTTTTCAGTAAGGTCACAGGGAAAGGCAGTCAGTGACTTTCTGCTATGGCATCCAGTCTGAGATTCGCCCAGCCCTGTGAAGAGCTCTCCCAGAGAGGAACAAAACAGGCAGGGCCTCAAGGTGGTTTCCGACATGGCCAGAGCGGGGAGTAGTGCAGAAGGCCCTACGGATGGAAAGAGAGATAGGGACAGATGATGAAGGCCTCGTGGCCAGGGAAAGAGTTTGAACCTTATTTGCAGGGTCATGGGAACTCACTGGAGAAGGAACATAACTTAATTTCTTCTTAAATACTGGACACCTGGTTGAAGAAAAGTTTGAGTGGTGGAGATATGGGAGAGAAACAAACAGGGAGACTGGTTAGAATACCATGCTGAGATTAGTTGTACCAACATGGCAAGAGGTGAATAGATGTGATATATTCTGGGGTGAAATCTAAGTGGGTTATTAAATGCAGACTAAAAGAAAGAAGAGGAAGAAGATTCCCCAGAATTCTATTTGAGCAAATGTCTCGTGTTAACGTTTACTGAGCTACAAAAGACTAAAGGATAGTTTTTGAAAGAAAAAACAAAGGGTTCTGCAGAAGACAGTGAAGTTTGAGAAAACTAGGAAATGTCCAAGTTGAAAAGTCAAGTTGGCCAGGCGCCTGGAGCTCAGAGGAACTGGCTGGGCTCAAGATATAAATCTGGCATTCATTAGCATCTAGAAATTTAAAGCACAGGAGTTGATGAGCTCACCCAGAGAGGGGGAGAGAAACGACGGGGACCTATACTTTACTAAAAGAATTTCCAGATATACTGTCCTACAGTATGTTTGAAACACTTTAAACACGAGTTGCATTTTGGAAATATTCTTTTAGACACAGTGGAAGAATGAGCCATTGAATAAAGAAGGGAACTATCTGCAGGAAATTTTAAGAAAGAGATTCTACTACTTGTTGATTTATTTGCTATCAAGAAGTGAATGGAGAAACAGGAGTCTAATTGACTGATGGCCTGAGAGAATTGTAGCTACAGCACCCTTGAGACAGCAACACGAGGGTGTCTGTCGGACCAGAGGGTACCGAGCTGAGGTCAAGGATGAAGTAGTTGGCTGGAATGAGATTACCTGGAAAGGCTCAGATGTGAGAGGGCAAAAGCTAGAGCCCCGGTGCGTGCCATCGACTTAGGTGTGGGCAAAGAAAGAGAATCCCGTAAACAAGATGGAAGTCATTACGAGTTGAATTAGAACTAGAAACTAACAGGAGTACTAGGGATGGTCACCTGAGTCAAATACCAGAGATCAAGCAGGTTTGGTATCTGCCCACCAGGAAGTGATCGGTGACCAGGTCGGACAACCTGCGGAAGAATCAGAGCTGAAAGTACATCCACACTCCTGAGGCTTGGTTATCAAAGGACGGCTGAGGGCAACACGGGGTCAAAAGAGAATGTCTTCTAACAAAGGAAACATGTCAAGTGTAACATAGAAGGCTAAACTGAGGGC